GAATGGTGTGCCTAAGTTCCTGGGGAATGCTAAGAATGTGTCGAAACCACCTCGGGCTGACCGATTGGGAAGTTTAAAAAGGAGATCGAGTTCGCCTTTGAGAGATGGCCGAACCACAAAGATCAGATTGTTGTGTGTACTCAGGAACAGTTGAGTGCGTGTATGCAGGAGTGTTACTCGGACGATAAGTTGTGTCTTGGGTAGCAAGAAATCCTGGAATGACGAGCTAAGTTGGATGGGGTTGTGCTTACTCCGTTGGACTGTAACCCCGGTGTTACCCTCGTAATGTGCCCCAGACACCATTACGATGGGATGATGGATTTGTTTATCTGAAACGCGGGTTACTATGTGGTTCCTGTGAATGTTGAGGAGACTTTGCTCCAAATGCGCTTGGATCTTAAACGGGACAAAATGACGAGCTTTGCCACTTGGGACTCAAAACGGACCGTTGGGCAGGTCTATGCTCTGCCTAAGCATAAGGATCCTGACCGGTTCCGGCCTATCTGTCCATCCTACCCCGAACCAACTGTGAAGACTAGCAAGGTTGTGGCGAAAGCCCTTAACCATCTGTTGAATACCATTCCGCAGGACTAGCACTTCAATTTGAAGGTTGTTTCCCTGCTGACCAAAAGTCTGACGATTTGCAACGGAAGGTTGAGTAGGATCGGTCCGGATGTCTTGGAATTACGGTCCTATGACATTAAGGACATGTTTAGCTTGTTGCCCTATGACGAGATCATTACCGCTATCGGTTGGTTGCTTGATTACCATCGTTGTAGAAAGTGTAGTTTTGTCCGGGTTAACACCCGGGGACGTGGGGCATCCTTTGGCTTGACTACTGGCTATGACCATTGGAGGAAGGTGGAGTTCGATGACATCTTTCGATTCGTGAAGTTTGAATTATTTCATACTTACACACTGGTCATGACTGCGCTATTGAAGCAGCAAGTGGGTATCCCTATGGGAAAAGTACCAGTCCCCCACTTGCCTGCATCATGTGTGCAAAAGTTGAGTTTGACTTTTGAAATAGCGCCGGGTGCCTGCATAAGAATGTGTTTGGTGTCAGACTTATTGATGACGTTGGGTTAATTGTTGGTGGTAAGCACCTTGCATATCACGAGCGTGGGATGATTTTTCAGAGGTTTAAGGGTTGCTATCTGAGCAATTTGACCTTGAAGAGAACTGACGGAGGGAGGAATGTATGAGACTTTTTTGGGTTGTGAGATAAGGGTGTCTTGCCAGTATCCCTTCGTCGAAAGTGTGCAGTTGTCCATAAATGAAGCAGTAATTTGGGGAACCGAGAAGCTGGATTTCTTGAATGGCCAATCATTCGACTCTTATGGTAGCAAGTCCAAAAAAAGTGTCGTGGTCAGCAGCCACTTGCATCGTATCGATAGGAATACGATGGTATGATCCGAAATCCCGAGAAGGGTCATTACCCTAAAGAAAGAGTTGCGTCTAAAGAACTTCCCCGGAATTTTTTTTGACCGCGTCTTGCGAGGTTTCGCCCATGGGCGTGACGAAATTTGGAAATGGACAAGTAATTTCATTCGGACAGGGGCTGGTTGGACACTCTGGATGGCATAATGAGTTACGACATTGGGTCGTTTGTCCTTGGCATGGGCCCCTCAGCCTGACAGGGGTTAGAGACACGGGCTTCCTTTGACAGGTTCTCAAGATGTAGTTGTCTGTGTTTTTGGAGTAGGTTCTTTGCTGATTAGTTGCTTTTGATTGACCGCTGGCTCCGGACTGTAGTTGTGTGGTTTTGATTTAGCCAACCCTTTCAGATCTGACTTTGCATGAGGGCCCCCAGCCTGACAGGGGCTAGATACACGGGCTTCTTGTGACAGGTTGTTCAGATGTAGTTTTTTTGTGGTTCTGGAGTTGGTTCCTTTGTTGTTTGCCTTTTATAGTATTGTCCGCTGGCTTCGGACTGTAATTGTGTGGTTTTGATTTAGCCGATTTTACTCGGGGTCTGTGACCCTGGGCCTGGTCTGAATAATTAGGACCGGTAGCGATGGTCGATAGCTAGGAAGGTACGTGGTCTGGGACTAATAAACCTGGCTCGACTTGGGTCCAGTGGAACTACCGACTGTCGAAGTGAAGTACTTGGTTATGATCCCAGCGGTATAAATAAATTGATTGAGTAAGTAATCATCCTCTTACGCGCGCGATTAGCGCTCTGCGCTATTAGCGCTGGTACGGCTAGTGGTTAGTGTGGCGGATCTTGGGTTTGACGGCTATGTTATGGTTGAGCACTTTCATGTGTAATATTCAATCATCATTTCGATTTACTCGTTCTTTAAGTTTATCGAATTTCTTGCGTCTTGTCACGAGTTATTTGTTCTGCATAATTCCTTAATTCCCCTTTACACCCCCTTAGCCCCCTTAAAACAAATTTATACCCCTCTTCCCCCCCTCTAACAACCAACTCTAAAAAATTGAAACGAACCTGGATTTTGGGTCTTTTGGGAGAGCGCAAAAATAAAAAGAAAAAAAAAGAAAAAAAAACTTTTCACGTTTGCGTATCCCGAGCGTCAGACCCCCCCAAGCGTGAAGCCCAAGTGCCCGGCGGAGCATAAAAAACTTCCTAGTTTATTTTTGTTTTTCTTTAATAAAATTTTAATAAATTTTTAATAATTTTTTTAAAAATTATAGTTTCATGTATTGGTCTAGTATTACTTAGCTTGTACAGTTTTTGCCTAGGCTACTAGAGTGGTCCGGGTCCACTTGCTCGGCCGGACCAGACAAACATAAAAAATAAACAAATAAATAAATAAATAAATAAAATCTAAGCTAATAGAGTGGCCCAGGGTCACTCGCCTGGCCGACAAAAAAAAAAAAAAACAAAAAAAACAAATTTGTTTTTTATTTTTAATTTGGTAAAGAATTTCGATATGAGCCTAAGCCAAAAGTCGTTCAGTTTATTTTTCCGCATAACATTGTTTTTTTTCTTTTTTCTTTTTTGCTAGGATCGGCGTAGCACCGTGCTCGCATTCGGAGGCGAACACGAACAAGCGCCCAAAACCCTCCAAACGCGAATATAAAAAATATTAAAAAAAAAAAAAAAAAAAAAAATCAGAAAACTCTGAAAAACATATATGTTATGTAAAATATTAATACAAGCAACTTTTGCCTTGGAGTCATGTTCAAATTTGTGCCCAATCATGAGTTAAAAATAAAAAAAACGAAAAGAGAATATATATTTTATATATATATATATATATATTTTACGAAAAAAAAATTACGTTCGCCCGAACATGTTCGCGAGTTGTTAGCGTGAACGTGAAGGGGCACGAACACGTTCACCGTGGTACGCAGGCTAGGACCTTCCCTGGTTCTTGCACGATCGGGCCGTCCGGGAAAATAAGGTGACTCGGACGGCCCATTTCCCGGACAGCCCGACTGACAGCCTAAAAACAAATAAAAATATTTTGTAGTTTAAATTTTTATTTGAAATTTGGTAACAAATTTCAATGTGACTTTGAGGCAAAAATTGTTCAGTTTATTTTTCAGCATAACATAGTTTTGCTTCGGAGTTTTTGGATTTTTTTGTTTTTGTTTTTATAGGGGTCCTCCCTGGTAAGCACGACCGGGTCGCCTGGGAAAATAGGGTAACCCGGGTGGCCCGGCTGGTAGCCTAGGTTTTTGCTATATATTAAAACATTGTTATGTACTAATATTCATTGTTAGATTATATATTGCGTAGCATCACGTTCGGGCTAGGTGACCGAACCCGAACGCTCGGTACCGAACCCGAACGTGGCCCAAAATCGACCGAGCCCGAACATTTTTAATTTTTTTTATTTTTTATTTTTAAAATTTGTAAATATATATAGGGGCTGGGGGGGCCCTGAGGCATTGCTTATCACTCCTTAACATATACACACACATACACACACACACACCACACACACACAGACACACATAACCCATACACACCCCTGACACCACACACACACGAGGACACGTTCGGTAGCCCCCTGACACCACACACACACGAGGACACGTTCGGTTGCGGCTCGGTCAAGCGTCCAAACATGTTCGGCTGCTTGGTGGGACACCGAACATGCCGAACATGTTCGGTGTGCTACACAAATTATATATATAATCTATTAAAATTATGATTATGCTTATTACCTAGGCTACCAACCGGGCCGCTCGGGTCACTTTATTTTCCTAACTGGGCCGGCCGTGCAAGGACTAGGGAAGGACCATGCCCAAAAACAAAACAAAAAACAAAAAAAAAACTATATTACGGAGAAAACTAAACTGAAGAACATTTGCCTTAGGGTTACATCAAAATTCATAACCAAATTTAACATAACATTTTTAATTAAAAAATATTGTTTATTTTTTTATTATTTCTTTAATTATACTTTAATTATACTTTCCGGGATTAAAAAAAAAAGGCGCGAAACATTTTTTGATATTGGGAAGTTTAAGATTTTTTCTCTAGAAGCTATCGAAAAGAGCCCGAAATATCGGGGCAGCTGGATGGGCCAGTTCCGGAACATGTGTGGGGTGTTGGACCAAGTGACGCAGGATAGTAGCTTTGAAACATTGAACGTGGCTCACTTAGTCCAAGGAGTTCTGTTGAAGTCACAGTACCGGGTCATTGTCAAAGGTACCAGGCGCATTTGAACAGGGTTGAGGCGGGTATTAATAGTGTAGTACTGTAGCATAGTTTGCATCTCGAAGTGTCCCCATGAGGAGGTCGCTAACTTGCAGTGGCCGAAACTAGTCAGGGATTGGTCAGACACCTTTGTCTCTTGGGCTGCACTCTATTATGGAGGAGGGGAGGTGTTTTCACGCCGGTTATGACCGACAGTGACGATACATGCGCTGACGTTCATATCTTGTTTTTGAACTTAATTATTTCGAGATTCTTGGTGTATTTTGTTGTGACATCTGCGGCTATGTGTGCACGTGCTTTGGGGTCAGGCCTTTTCATCTGGCTCTGCTGTTCTCATCTAGTATCGGCAGAGGCAACCCGCCAGGACGTCTCTCATGCGCTCTGATGGCCCTGTATTTTTTAGGCTTTAAGTGACTAAGAGGAGTTTGAAAGAGCGTGAAGTATTCGTACGCGATGGCGAATGGTGGTGAACAGAATGGTAACTGGAACGGCGGCAACGGCGGCGGTAACGGTGGTGGCGGCAATTGGAATTGGAATGGCGGCAACGGAGGGGGTAATGGAGGTGGTGGAAACTGGAATGGTGGCTTTAATGGTGGCGGTGGAAATTGGAACGATGGAAACGGAAATGGCAGTGGAGGCGGTGGAAATGGAAACGGCAGGAACGGCGGAAATTGGAATGGTGGACGTCGGGGAAACTGGAACCATGGTAGGAATTGTAACAACGGCGGAGGTAATAGCGGGAACTGGAGAAGATCGGCGCGGTGTTACAATTGCAACCATATCGGCCACATCAGCCACAAGTGCAACGCTCCTCGGCAGAACCAAGGTGGTGAAAACTGGAATAGTAATGGTAATAACTATAATAGGGGTGGAGCAAGCTGGAATAGTAACAACGGTAAAGGAGATTGGCAGCCTAACACTAACGAGGGAGCGAGCAGCTCCTCTTCCTCGGGTGTGCCGGCAAATGCCATCGGCATCAGCAAGGACCTGGAGGAATCCTTGAAGGCCGTATACCTGTTTTCGAAAAGGCAAATAGAACTGGAGGAACGTCGTGAGACCGAGTGACGAAAATCGGAGGAACATAGGAAACGTTTGGAGGATGAAAGACTAGCGAGAGAAGAGAAGAGCCGAGACGAACTCGAGAAGAAGAAGGCGAAGGAGAAGAAGGAGGCCGAAAGAGAACGGAAGCTGGAGATGCTGCTGTCTAAGCAGAAGGAGACTTTGCGGGAGGAATTTGAAAAAATGTTTGATAAAAAACTACGCAAAGCAGTCGTGTCAGAGAAAGCAGTAAAAGGGAAGGCGCCGATTGAGGAGTCGAGTTCTAACGAGGAGGATGACGATATGCAGGAGGAGCGCCTCGAGAAACGTAAGAGGCAACCAGCTCCGGTTTGCCAAGCAAGCCCTCCGGGGGAGTCACCGTCAAAGATGGGGAGAGCAGCTACACCAGCTCTTCCCATTACTCCACGACTGGGAGAATCCCCTTGTCTGAGAGCCCCGCAGGCGGGGGCCCCCGGGGGCAAAGCCGGGGTAGGGGTTTG